CAAAGGGGTCGTAATTTCTTAACTGACAAAGCTGCAAACACCGGAGGATTTGACATAGGATTACACAGGCCTTGTGCTTGGAGGTGAATTTTGTCAAGCTGTCCATGATCTGTGTCACCTTCGTTCAGGGATCTGGGAAGCCTGCTTTCTCACCAACAACTCTCGCGCTGTGAAGAAAGGGAGCACTCACAGGGAACACCACTGCATACTGTATCGACAGCTACTGCCACTTACTGCAGCACCCACCGCGTTACTCAGCGTGCCTGGCGCACACGGATGGCCGTCTGCGCCTTGTTGTAGGGATCCTGCAGTCAGAAGCAGCAAGACGCACGCTGCCTCTTGGTGTCGAAACAACCCGGCTCCTTGGCAAGATGCGTGGACACGACCACCAACGGTAGGATGTGCGGGCCGGCCACACGCCACTTCAGCAGCACCTCTTGCAGCGAGCGAAAAGCCATAGGCAAGTAGAGCGAGAGAGACTGAGCGAGGTTGTGAGAACGAATCTGAGTGTATTCGACTAGCCGAAAGCAAGACACCCGTCCGTCTCTCGGGCTCCGGGCCATGACACAGCTCCGGTCCCGTTTCTCACGGCCCTTGTCCTAGCGAAGTTCCGACACCAGAACCGTGCTCCGCAACGGTGCCCCTGCCGTGGCTCTGCCGGGGGCTCTGCATCGTTGCCATCGACCATGTCGAAACCCTGAGACAAAGGCGCAAAAATGGAAGGATGAAGGGGAATTCGCATCCTCACATATTCGGCGCTCCTCCGAGGCGAGACACTCGAACTTCGACTTCCGCCAGAAGATGCCGCAGCCGTCTGCGGACGAGGCCCTCGGCCGTTTGCGGAAAACTGAGTCCTGCCCAAGTCAAGAGGAAGGCTATGGCTGCTCTATACGGACCCTCCGTCGGAGAGGGTGGGCGAGAGGGTTCAGGGCTGGGGTCCCACTCGTCGCAGAGGCATTCGGCGAAAAACCCGTGATCATCCAGCTCCACCTGCGGCTGCAAGCTGCACCAGGCCCTCTCACAAACCGCGGCCGCCACCAGCGACAGCACGTCTGGATCCATGCTCTCGATCTGCTCCAGAAGCTTCTGCCGTCGGAACTCCCACCTTTTGGGCAAGAGCTCACAAAAAAAACCCTTCCCAATAAAACCTGGCCTTGAATGCCATGCCGGCCATGCCTGGCCCTAGCCCTGGCCTGAAGAAGGTGTCGTACTGCTCCACGGCAGTGATCTCATCGGGTCTCAGGATTCCTCAGAGAAAGAGCCCCAGGGGCCAGACTCAGCTCATATATAGCTCTAGAGTTAGGGCGCCTGTGGCGTAGTCCGGCCACCTGTGTTTCGGCCTTACCGCCGCTGGCAAGAGCTCATGTGTGCAACATGAGTGCAACATGGCGCGGCAAGCGGTTTGTGTGGACTTGTTGGGTTCACACTCGCCTACTATCGCCCACTCGTACTAGTATTGCCTTGGTTGCCTTCAAGACAAGCCTCGAACCGCAGGCGGATGTACTCGAACAGATACGTCCAAACCATGCAATGACTACAGCCAGCAGTCGTCTACCGAAGGCCTTACAGAAACTTTACGGGAATGCTTTGGACCTAATGAACTGCTCGACGGAGAAATGGGATAGTTTGTCGAAGGCTTGTGGCAATTCCTCAACGGACATCGGCGCCATGTGCAGCCGGGTTGGGCGATGGGATGAGATGTGGCAAGAGCTCGTTCCTCCACGCAGCAGAGCACCCCAAGCATGCCGGTGGGTCGGGTCTCGCCGACTATAAGATACCGGTTGATGTTGAAGTGTTCTCAGCGAGTTGTGTACATCTCAAGATGACATGAAGTAATAGCAACCTGGCGATGATGTCGGTGGTTCACTGAAACATGCAATAGCCCTTTTCTAAGCGACTGAACCAAGAAAGAGCGACTCTCCTCCAAACTCCGAAGAGGTCCTTTCCGGGACGCCCGCGTGCCATCGGGGCCTCGTTCGTTAAACTTGGCGAAGATCCTCTCCCGCTCCTCTTGGCAGGGGCTGGACAAGCCGAAGGGGGGCTCAAGTGCTTTGCCAAGAAGCGCTTTGCCTCGGGGCTGATGTCCGCACCGTAGAGAAACCAGGGCTGCGTGTTCTTGCCCAGGTACCTCCACAAATGCCGGAGCCCCGTGCCTTGTGCTCTCTCCAAGCGCTGGGCGCACGAGGCCAGGATGTTGTACTGCATCACGGACACGGTTCGCCGGACATCCTTTTGGACCCCCTCCAGTGCCTCGACTCGCGTGCTTCTTAGACCACAGCTTGCGCGCCCTTGCACCTCGCTCCCGCCTTCGTCATTTGCTGCAGCTGCTGAGCCTGACCGCAGGCACTGTGGCCGTCTGTTCCAGCAGACGCGCAAAGGCTCCCTGAAACAATACCATACCTCAAGCTTTGATCCAACATGCTTTTCCAGTTTGCCTAGACCCATCTAAACCCGAAACCTCCTGAAAGCGCAACCCATCTCGTCGGAACTTGCGGTGCCTGTTGCTGCACGATCCATTCCAGCGCTTCGACCCGCTCCGCGAGGGTCTGCTTTCCCTGGCAAAGGCTGCAGTTGAGGAGGGGTTGGGATGATGAGATGGGAGAGAGACACAGCTCAGGATAGCCGGATAGCCAGCGGCACAGGCTCGAGATTGGAAATTGCGTTGGGCGGCACGAAATCTCCCTGCGCCTGGGCAGCAGACGGCAGAAGGGAAGATACTGTTAACAGATGGCCTTTCAAGCAGCCGGCTCCCTGAAACCGTTTCGCAGCATGGGACGTACCTTGGCCGAGAGAAGACGAGATCAAGCGCCGGCGACAGCACCGACACACGTGTCCATCATCGGATCAGCACCGAACCCCATACCTGTGCCGGTCTCGTCCGTTTTCGGGCCGAGTGAGTTCAGAGCCAAGGTGCTGCTGGTCGAGGCTGTGTTTTCTGGCCCATAGTCCAGCTCCACCACCTCCACGACTGCTTTGTGCAATCATGACTCTGAGACCAAGATGTTGATGCTGGCTCTGGCTGCTCGCTGTCTTCTCTTTACCGGTACGCACCGACTCGGGGAGCACTCCCGCTTCCGAGCGGCCTTCTGGATCTGAGTCTCAGATGTCACCTTCCCGACGCCGGAACCTCAAAGCAACGGCGCCTCCTCTGATTCTCACGGGAAACTCGAGGTTTGAGACCGCAGCCCATGTTGCGGCGTGGCAACTTGCCGTGGTCGCGCGAGATTAACGTGCTGAAGGGCCGCCCCACAACTTCGATTCGATGCTCTTCTAGAATCCGGAGTAACCTGCGGTCCTTCGCATGCATGTAGATTGATTCTTGCTCATGCAGCTCATGCCCGTCTTGGAAGTTGCAAAAGAAAGCAACACTTGGATGTTGGTCTAGTCTCTCTTCGTGGATTCTGTGTATGTTGAAGAGTATTTCCAAGCAGGCTGCGGATGTCCGTCCATTGGAAGGCTGTGGATCGACGTGAGGATGCTTGCGTATCACATGCCGGCAGCATCCATAGCGACAGGAGAAAAGTAGCAGCAGCAGCAGCAAACCTACTGACGACGACACCGACTACAGCCATTTCGCTCGCATCTTGTCGTCTCCCTCTCTCGCTTGATCTCTCGGACTTGTCTTTGCTGTTTCATGCAGAAAGCGAAGCAGGCAAGTTAGCATGGCACGCTGCCAGGAAGTTTCTGGGGTCTCTTGTTGCCCTGGATGCCCTCACGTGTAGATCACAATACCTATGCCACGGGACCCCGTCCCCTTTTGCGGCTATTCTGCGTGTAAGTTGCCCCCTGCTGTGCTTGTGGCAGGTGGAAACGGCGGGTGATCTGCCAGACTTAGGCAACGCCAACCTTCGCTCGTTGCGTTTACACGCTCGTTGCGGAGATCTTCTCGCACAAGCGATACGGATTCTACTTGCGCCATCTCCTGGCGGACTCCAGCTCGGCTGTTTAACAGCGGCTCGACAGAATTGGAAGTATCAGGGCGGAGTCCTACTCACGGCCTCACGGTCGTGACGGCTCGGAACGCTCAGGGCTCACGGCTCGGCTCGCTCGGAACGCTCTCCTCCCGGCCTCGGCTCAATCGGAAGCTTCGGCGCATTTCAGACTCAGACTCTCTCTCTCGAGATATCACAAGCGCTGCCCCAGACTCCCCGGCAGGGCTCTGACCGTGCAGAGCGCACGGCCGTCATGGCTGTGCCGACCGGCGATCCCGCCAGCCTCAATCCGTTTTGCCGCTCAGAAGTGCCTTGGCCAGAGCCACTCCACTCCGAGCGCTGCACCCCGACAGCGGGTCCTTGAGAGAAGCGCCGACCGGGAGGCATCGCGACCAGAGTGACTCAGAAATTTCTGTCCTTTGGCTCCGCTCGCCTGGCCGTAGCGGGGCGAGCTGTGACCTGCCGTGGCCGATGCTCGACGGCCCACCAAAGATGCCTCGACAAACGGCGCCGGAAGAGCCGGCCGCTTAGTGCGGATCCAGTCGCGCCAGTCGGCTGGATCCTCATCCAAGTGGTCTTGGCAGTCGCAAAGTGCTTTGCGTCCCGGCCCTGGCCTCCCAGGGCGGATGCCTCAGGCCGAGCTGCCCCCCGAGGTCCCAGAGCATTGCGGGAGCCCCTCCCTTGGCTGCCGACCCATTCGCGGCGCCGGGCCCATCCGGCGAGCTGCCGCGCTCCTTCGCGCCGTTGCGCCAGGGCCACACGCGGACCTCAAAAGCTTCGGTCTCGGAGATTTCGTCTCGCTGAGTCAGGCCAGCCTCCAATGCGCGCACCTGGCGCGATCGACACAGTCCCTTCTTGAAGCCCCGTGCCTCTCTCCGGGCTTAAGTGCCGGAAAATCTACCATCTCCCGGCCTGGTCACGAAGGCCTTCTCCCCCCGTACAAGAAACACATTTCACGATTGTTGATTCCCTTGCTCGCCCCTTGCGAAGGCATGCCAGCTGTGCAAGGGCTTCCAACCGAGCCACGTCCATGGAACGCGCATTTTCGGTCTTGACCTACACTCCGCGCAGCCCTTGGCCTCGACGCGACTTCCACCTGGCTGAGAGCCCCACGTAGCCCTGGAACTCGGCGACCAGCTCGTCCAAGGCCCGCCGAACGGACCTCAGTCGCAAGCCCTCCACAAGCCTCTCCGAACCGTGGGAACCTGAGCGCCCCCGCTCGAAGCGTGCGTTGGCGACCAGCTCCACTGCCTGAAAAGGCCAAAGATCTCCCAATACCTGTAGGCCTCTAGGCTATAGACCTTCATGGCCTGTAATACTGTAAAGCAACCGAGGACGGCACAGCCACGCGCTTCTCAGCGCCACCTGCGCAGCCTTCTACTTCGGCCTGGCATGGGCCAAGTACAATCAAAGCCACCAGAGCCACTACAATCCGTTTAGGATTCATGGCTTTGGCCATGCCGCCCAAGCTTGCGGTATCAACAGCAGGCTTTCATGTCACACCCATCAACAGCGAGCCTTTTCTGGTAAGCTTTGTGATAGGCCGTCGCCCAGTGTCAGTTGAGACTGTCCCAGCCCACCTTGCGATCTTTGCCCTCCTGGTCCAGACCTGAACCAGAGAACGACACCAAAGAAGGAACATAGCAGAAATTGTTGCTGCACTTGTTGGGATCAGGCTCGTCACAAGAAAACCGGGCCCCCGGCGCTCGAGGAGCTCTTGCCTGGCGTTGGAAAATGCCGGAGAAGGAACATACCGAGAACTCTCAAAGAAGCTCCAAGGGGGAGTCCTCTGCCGCGCCAGCTGCGTCACCTCTACCTCCAAGGCCCGCAGCCGCGCGCCCTGCGGAAGGACTTTATGGGGCTTCCGAGCGCGCCACTTGGAATCTCTAGCAGATCTCAACGGCTCCGGTGCTCCCTGCAAGCCGAAGCCTCGTCTGAGCCTCGGCTAAAAGGAAGAGGATCCCGGCCGAAGCTCGCTGAGTCGGCTGAGCCCACGGCGGATGGAAGCCACTACGGTGGTTGCCTCGAGGCCACGCTGACCCGACTGGAAGGAGGATCGTGACACCACTGGAGCTATCGGTTTGCGCCTGGGCTTGGAGACCCTCTTCCAGGCGCTTCACTTCTGCATCCAGTCTGCACAAGTACCAGTCGAAGCGAGTCGAAGCGGGGAGCAGTTCGACTCCCCCGGCCCCCCCGCCCTGCCTACGCAGGAGGTCGGCAAGGCCAGCATCTTGCCGCTGCATGTTCACCGTGCAGCCTCAAGAGGTGCCCTGCCTTCCTGACTCGTCAGGCTTTTATCGCGTTGAGGCCCGGACCCTGCACCACCTCCGCAGTGCGGGACCTCACGAATAGCGGAGAATGCCACGTGCGGGAACGTGCACCTCCTGATCTGATGCTGGGCCAAAAACTCGCAGGCCACGACCTCCGTGCGAAACTCCTTAACCACCTCCAAAAGTCAGAGAGCTGACAGGGAAGGGGATCGGGAACGGGTCTCATTCGCCTTCTCCAGGTTGGTCTGATGCTCCTTCTCCCTCTGCTCCAAGGACTTCCAGAGCTCCGCCACGTCGGCTTCGCGGCCTCGCGGCTGCAACGCTCGACTTTTTGGGCTCCGCAATGCTCCGCACGTCTCGGCACGGGTCCCCGACGGTCGTCACAGGCACTTAGCTTCTCCACGTCTTTGGCTAAGGACGCCAACTCCTCGGCTGTTCTTCTGCTTAGCACTTCCCCCCTTCTGGCTGTAAGTCCGCGACTTTGGTTGCACGATCGGTAAAAGCCAGTCTTTCGTAGTCCGCCTGTCTGAGCGCACCTGATCGTGCTACAAATCGTGGGTGCCGCAGCACTCTGTCACATCACACCCATCTGAGTTCGAGCCTTCCAACATCTCGATTTTGCGGCCATGGGCCTCCGTGACTTCGCCCACCAAGCCCAAGAGCACAGAGGCTCGAACAGATGCTACTGCGGGTCGCAAGACGCTGATGCACATTTCAGCCAAAAGGGTTGCTGAACAGAAAGCCATGGCGCATCTTTGATGTCGGCGAGGTGCGCTTTGTCCTTTACAGAAAAGCCGAAGATCAGTGAGCAGTAGTGGGCCAACGCGGCAAAGAAGAGATCCTGGTTGGTGGCGAAGTCGCGCACTTGCTCGACAGCGTTGCTCAACCTGGCGGGACGCATGGTCTCCCTCGATGGCCGGGCTTGCTGCATTTCCTGCGACCAGTAACAGCTACACGGCAACATCGCTTCAAGCCGTGGGATTGAAAAATACAGTCGTACACAACTTGCAGATGTTGCCTCCATCGGTCGCTGCGTAAGTGATATATCTGCTCACGCAGTGATACTACACAAGCAAGCGATTCACCCGCTGCAACGTTTGTAAGTACGCCCTGTTAGCCTGGGAAGCCTGTCAACTTTAAAGCACGTGTTGCAGCTCGGCACGTTGCCCATTGCAGACACAGCGCACATGCCGGCACCACTCCCCGGCAAGGTCGGCAGATCGTCGCTGGCCTGCCAAGGCCCCTCCGCGGCCCCAAGCCGAAAAGCCACAGGTGTCTGTTCCTCTCTTTCCTTCAAGGCACCTTCGGCCGCAACCGCATCCAGGTCGCCGTGCAGCTTTTTCAGATCCACCTAGCCGAGACAGCGGAGGGTCCTTCGCAGTTCCACAGACTTCTGTAGCATTCTTTTGCCTCGGCTTGGCCAAGCCGCTGAGCAGCCTGGCTTCTGACAAGTCTTTCTCAGCCCACGTGCAGCTCAAGACGAGGATCCTCGTCCACGTGGGGTCTCAAGCTCGACTCGACCGCGGCGCAAGCAGCCAGCAGCTTCTCCTGAAAACGTTTCTTCACTTGGCATCTCCTTGCTTACTGCCCTGGAAACCGACCCCACCTCCTGCTCACTTGCGGCGCGGCTCAGCTTCTCGGCACCGGCCTCTGAGCCTCAGATCGAATCGGGACCGTGAGGACACGGGGACGAGGCATGGGGGATCTCAGAACGAGACTTTGCCGCACGGCCTGGATGTCCTTGTCCAACTTCTTCATCTGCAAAGGACGGGACCGAAGATGCCCCCTCCTTTCCTTTTTCATTGTGACTCCCCTTTTTAAGCGGCCCCCTTTCGCCTGCAAACTGAGCTCGGCTTCCCACTTGGGAATGAGCCCTGGCATTCGGGCAGCAGTCAGATGCATGAACCGGAACATGTCACCGGGATTCCCATGCCACGTGCGGCGATCTGATTGGGAGCTGGCGTCGCAAGCAGCAGCACATATTCCGA